CACCGCCAGCCTGAGAGCCTGGCCTCCCCATGCCACCTTGATGCTCTCAGGGACAAGTGGCCCTCCATGGAGGGCGTCGCCCGCAGGGGGCAAAGGACTTGCAAGTACCTGCGGCCCAGCTGCTGCTGAGCGTGCAGACTGGCAGCCAAGCCCTGCGCCAGCTTTTTCTAAAGCAGCCCTTTTGATAACACCAAAGCTGTTTCCCTCACTAGAGCCTTGGGCTGATTGAGCCCTGGCCAACTTCTCAGGGTAACAAAGAGGAGGCGAAAGTAATCCAAACACAGGTTTTATTATAAAAACCAGGGAGTGAGAGAAGTATGTTTATTCTGTAAGATAACACACCTGCTCGGTGCCCGGGAGGCTCATTTCCATCTGTTGCCATGGCAAACTCGTTATACTTCAAGGCCATGTGGCTTTGTTTCCTTTTGAGATCCGGTCCTTGTCCTACCTTTTCTAACAACTCCAACACAATGACATGGAAGCCTGCGACAGCATAATTGATTTCTCCTTCCCGCTATCCATGGTTTACATTTGTGCGGCGCGGGACTGAGGCTCCCTTCTCCTTTGAACTCCTAGCTAACCGTGAAGGCATGCTTCAGAGAGCCGTCCTCATTAACATTCCAGGTCCCCTTCCCCGTCAGTGATAAACAAGCCCTGCATCAGTGGCCTCCTTGCTTCCACTTTTACAAATGAGTGGCTTGGTTCCATGTTCTGCTGCCGATCCAGGTGCCCAGGCGCTCCGTGCGGGGCAAAGAAGCACGCGGGAGAGGCTAAAAATAGAACAGCAGTTTGGACGCATACCAGAGCAGCTACTTCATCTCAACTTGCTTTGCACACGAAGCCTAATGGGCTCCATCAGGCCTGAGTTCTCTCTCGCGCCTTCTCCCCCCCCCCCCGCCCCCTTTCCCCAGCTGCCGCCTACCATCAGCGCCTTCCTGGTGAAGGGAGCAAAGGGAGGTCAGGCAAGGGACAAGACATGTGTGCCCTCGTGGTTTTAGTTACAAGTGCTGGGGGATCGGGGACTGCAATTATTCCTTCCATACAAGCGTTTCTAGAAAAGAGCAGGCAGCCCCGGCACATGGTCACCTTGGCCCAGGAACACTTTGGTCTAAGACTCTCTCCTTGTTTTAGCAGAGGCTCAAATATCACTTCCTAAAGACCTTGGTGAGGGTGACCTGGACCCACACTCATATGCTCCTTGAGAAGTGACACAGGGAACTCAACTACCCTGAGTGTCCCTCTCCCAGGTCCCACCTGTTTGGCTAGAGGTGAAGGACTTGGGAGCAAATGCACAGTCACAGATGGAGGGGCTGAAGTGCATGTGGGTGAGTTGGCAGCACATGAGTGCCCAGGGTCCATGAAAGCTTCCCAGCTCCCACCAAGTATCCTGGGATTCTATCTGAAAGCTTTTTCCAATAGAAAATGGAACAAAATCAGTATGGAGTTCAGAACATGCTATCCTGCTGGGCACAGGGCCTCCCCAGATGCCAGCTCTATTGATTGGGCTAGGCTCTTTGGTGTTGTCCATGTGCCTCCTGACAAAAGGGACTTTTTCTGCAGCCTCCCTCCACCCCACCCTGGCCCCAACTCAAAGGAGAATGATCAGGACCTATACCTTTCTCATTTCTTCATCTGAAAGGTAATGCAGATTTTCCAAACAGCTATGCATTATTCCAACAAGTGCTACTCTTATCAGATGAGAAGCACTGTGGAGGAAGATGACTATTACAGGATTTAAAAATAAAAGCATTTTTCATTGTTCTTGCTGTGGAGATTGGCCAGATAAAACTAAAACAAAATTGATCTAACAGCAGATTTTATCTGTAAGCTTCAGGAAGTTGCCAAGGTCTTTTAAATTGTGCTTTGGTTTTATATAATACTCGTATGAAATAAATAAATATGCCAAAACTACTTCAAGAGAAGTCACACTCCATCTAATCACAGCAATAATTAATTCCCCAAAGACTTTCCCCCAGAACAAGTTGCAACATGATCATTTAATCCTCCAGCCACCAGAGGACAGAGGTGCATCTTCCCTCAGGCCTCCTACGTTCATGAGGCTCAGTTTACCTCTGGGAGATACTGGGTCATTTGTTGAACAAATCTACCGTCGAGAGCCAGAAAGCTTTCTAGGTTTGCCAGATAAATGTCTGCGTACTAGACACCAGGATATCTGGGTTCTAGTCCTAGGGGGAACTTAAAGAAGCCATGGTTTTGGGGGGCCCCCTCTCTGCATGCATAAAAGTACACTGCCGAGGTGCGTGGTTTCTAGGGGCCTTTCAGATGGAAAATTCCAAATGTTTCCAGAAATAAGTGATGTAAGAATTAAATTTATTTTGGTGTCTCTTCCTTTCTGGTTTTTGTTTTTGTTTATTTGGTTGGTGGGCTCAGACAGAGCTATTCATTTTGAAAAGTAGCGCATAATTCTTCAGGATGAGAGGCAATTCTTCTTTGCGGTATTTCCCCACAGTCTAACCTTCCTTGTCTTTTCACTCGCCGTGAGGAGGTGGGGCTCACCGATTCTTCTTGGTTCATTAGGAAGAAACAGAAAGATCCTGTGTTTTGAGAAACTCTTTCTGGATCACTTCCCAGCGATCACAGGACTTTGCAATCCCTTTGGCAAAGGTGATGGTGACAATGGGGTGTTTGGCAAAGTGGTGGAGGAGGTGGTTAACGAAGTGGCTGAGGTTAAGAAAAATGCTCTTGGCAAAACATCACGAAGCAAGGTCTGGAATGCTCAAGGCGGAGGGCTTCCCTCCCTTGCTGAGACGACTGAGAAACACTCAGTCTTTAAATAGGTGATTTATTTAATAGGAAAAAAGAAAAGAGTATCGACAACAATCATTTTTCTGAGCACTGAAGTGAGAAATAGCTAGTCTAATACTTAGATTGTAGCCATGCACTGAGATGTCTCTGGATGATATAGAGGTTAAGTTAAACTAACTAGGCATATGTACACTCAGTCCCTGAAATTAAAAATTACATTTCAAATTTTAAGTTGGTTACTAAATATTAGACAAGCATCTAACCTTGCATTCTGTACACCTCACCCCTAAAATCAGTTTCGGTCTGAATAAAGCCTTGTGGCCAAGAGGTTATTTCTTACTGAGTCAGCCCTACCCCACATCCACCCCCGAAATATCTGCAGATGAATGCACGAGGACAGGGATGACATCTAAATAAACCAAGTGTTAATCTTGGTGTCAGCGCTCTCAAATAGTTGTTAAAATTCCTTTGATGTCAGTGGTCAGCAGATTTCATAGAAACTTCAGGGGTCAAACTTTCATCACCTGGTCAGGTGCTGTGTGTGTGTGTGTGTTTGTGTGTGTACTTTTTGTTTTGTTTGTCTTTTTGGCTACCAGTGCTACCAGCTCTAACAGTGTAATGACTATTTGTGGAACACCAGGGACCTTCCCTCATCACTCACCTGGGGTGGGAACAGTGGCTGAGAGCTCAGGCCAGGCCTCTGAAGGGAGGAGGGGTAACAGCACATTATTAAACCCTTGCAAACTAGAAACATTTCAGAGAAATGATTGCTGACGTCATTTTATTTACAATTGTGTGAATCCTTAATGATGGTGTCACCTCCGAAAAAGATAATAAAAAGAGGGGCACCTGGGTGGCTCAGACTGTTAAGAGTCTGCCTTTGGCTCAGGTCATGATCCCAGAGTCCTGGGATCGAGCCCCACGTCGTCCGGGCTCCCTGCTCAGCGGGAAGCCTGCTTCTCCCCTGCTTGTGTTCCCTCTCTCGCTGTGTCTCTCTCTGTCAAATAAATAAATAAAATCTTCAAAAAAAAAAAAGATAATAAAAAGAGAGAGAGAAGCCTTGAAGTTTGTGTTTGGGAGGTTTTTTAGGCATTTTAAATTAATCAAACAAGATAGTCCCACCAGGTCTCAGATGCTACAGCACCAAAGATGCTGGTGATAGTCTTACTTCAAGTAATGATTACTTCAGGTATACTAGCTTTTTTTCCCTTTTCCTGTTTTTTTGTTTTTTGTTTTCTGTTTTTAAACAAAGACATTCACCTTACCACCCAGTAGACATCGGTAACAAATAAATGAAATTGTGTCCCTTGCAATTCATTAGCAAACCTTCTTATTTATAGTTGGTATTTGTCTTTTCCCTACGGTGACATACAAGGGGTGAACTATCTCGTAGCACCATTGAGCCTTGTTTTGGAGATGAGGTACACAGGTAACAGGAAACAGTAGCTCTCTCCTCCCACCCCCCCACCTCAAAATCTTCATATTTCTTACTACTTAGCCCATAGCTAACGTCACCCCACCTTGCTTTAGAGCTTATGTAGATTATATATATATATCTCATATACGGATATGTTTGTGTTTTCTTGAGATCAGATGAGCAAGATATATATGTTTCTAAAATTACTAATGTGAGGGTATTGCTGATGAGATTTTAAAAAAGTGAAAAATGTCCCTGTTGGGAAAATGTAATTTTATCCTCCGGGCGATATAATTACAAAAACTCAGTCATTCTTCAAAAGAGTATTTAGAACTTAGGTCCCAGACCTTAAAACACTTAGGGCCCTCGAGATACCTCTGTCCACGTCATTTTAGAAGCGAGTCCTTGGGGTTTCAGGTGAGTGAAAGGACCTGCGTAAGGTCACACAGCTAGTTAGTGGTAGGAGCAAGACCAGAGCACAAACCACTGCTCCGGCCCGCCTTCTACCGCAGCTGTTGTGCTTCCCATCCACGGATATTCTTACGTGCACAGCCAGGCTTGATTTAGAGTCTACTTAGAATCATGGCTGTGTGGTGTACAGGAGTGGTTTTGTTAAAAAGTTCTACCGCAAGAATAAAGCTTTGAAGATTAGGTTAAAAGGGATTGTTTAACTATCTGGCTCTAATCCTCTCATACAGACCGGTCAGTTACATTCATCTAATATCGCATCTAAGCAGCTTTCCTGAAGCAACTGCCCATGTCACTAGGAATTAACACACATCTATCTCCTTTGAGATAAAGCAAAATACAATCTTACAAAAGAGTAAACATTTTATTATTTGTACACGAATCAGGTTGGTCCGAGGACACGCGAGCATCTGGCTAACTCATAAAAGTAGCTTTAAGCAACGGGAGGGGGTTTGTGGTCGTTCACTGTGACATCATTTCTCTATCTACTGGCTAAGCAGGGAGAGGCATCAGACTGTGAGGAGCAACGTGCTGGGGGCATCAGAAGGAGGGAATACAGAACAGCCACAGCCTCTTTTGGAAAGGCAGGGTCTGTGGAGGTCTCCGCAGAAGTCGTCTGCAGGACAGGCCTTCCGGGGTGGGGGGAACCCTCTGAGAGGGACTGCGAACAGATGGCCTCTGCTGGAAGAGTCTTGTGGGAACAGGATCCGCCCCCCAAACACACACACACACACACACACACACACACACACACACACACACGGCATGAGCCCAGGGCTCTGGGGACCGAGGGTGTCACAGGGGCACCACCTGAAGCGTGGGCAGGGGCCCCCGGGGAGGGGCTATGTACTCTTCTTCCCTGAGCAGCCGCAGCAGGATGTTTTTCTTATTCTTGGGCCAGCTGTAGACGTGAGTGTTCTGAAGCCAGGTGGGCACGTGCTCCTATGGGAGAGGGAAGGACAGGAGTGAAGGCCTTGAGAGAGAACCCTGGATTCCAGAGCCCAGGCTCAGTTCCCAGACATCTATGGCTTCCCTTCGTGGGCGTGCCCTACTGACGTCTCCTGGGAGTTGTGCTGTTTGGCTTTTGGAAGGGGTTAGCATGTGCAATGCTCCTGGCTTCGGGTGTAAGCTGTCGATCTCATTATGGAAACCACATGTGTGAGGCATTTTCCGTCAGCCTCCCAGGCTACCTGCCCTTTGCATTTCAACGTGCTTTTCACCACCTTCACATAAAAGGGGTAGGACAGAGGTCATGCAGAGTGATGGGAATTCCTTTGTGGCTTCAGAAGAAGTATGCCAAGGCTATGGGCTTAATCTAATTCATTATCCTTTCATTCTAGCCACACAGATCTGGCCTGCAGGAGAAGGAGCCCACCAGGTCTGTGATCAGGCGAAAAGCAGAAACTAAGCCAGGGATCGCGAGGGTGCCGCTTCAGACTGCCCTCACGGAGTGGACATTTGGTTGGGGAGACAGACACGAATAAGTAAAATACATAGTGTGTTTGATGGTCATACATACTGTGGAGAAAAATAAGACAGAGAAAGGGGAGAGGGAGCACTGGGCAGGGCTGAAAGGTTTGCAGCTTTAAGTGGAGTGTTTAGGAAAGGTCTCACTGAGAAAATAAGCAAAGACCTAAAAGAGCGGAGGGGACCCGGCTTTGTGGATGTCTGGGTCCAGCCAGTGCAAAGGCCCTGTGGTGGGGGCGTGCCTGGCCTGTTCAAGGAGCAACAGGCCAGTGTGGCCAGAGAAGAGTGAGCGAGTGAGAGTAGGAGAGGAGGTCTAGAAGTAGAGGGGCCTGAGTCAGCTAGGGCCTTGTAGGTCTTTCTCTGAGTGGATGGGATCCCTTTGGAGACTGCAGAATAAGCTTAGAAGCAGCACCTGCTACGTGTCAGGCATCATGCTGGGTGTGGATGACACCCAGATCCAACAGACACAGTTACTGCCTTGAGGAGTTCCCGGCGTAATGATGGAATGTAAATGAAACTGTAAAGAAACTATTTTCTAGGCAATGGTGTACCAAAGGGGCAGGAGGTGGGAGAAGTCTGCCCTGAGCACAGGCAGCGAGGGGGTTGTCTGAAGAAGTTTTAAAAAAACAATAAAACCAACTAAAAGTCAGTCTCCTTTTCCATCACTATGTTCCCCCAGCCCCTCCCCTCCCAACCACATCCCATTGACTCAAGGCACTAGAGCTAAGAGTGCTCAAAAGAGGAACAATTTAGTATATCGGCAAGGGAACGAGAGGGCAGCGGAATCTAGAGAGGTTGGGTGCTAGAAGGTAAGCAAGAGTTGACTACCAGACAAGTGAGGGAAGGGCACTGCAAGCGGGGGCAACGTGTGAGGCACAGAAACATGAAAGAACATGGCAGGTGTGGGGGTATGCTGAGATAGTCCGGCATGGCCAGAGCAGAGTCACTGTGCACACGGTGGGGAGAGAAGCCTGAGCACGTGGGCTCAGCCCTCTTCTACGGGGCCTCATCTGCCACGCGAAGAAAGGCGGATGCGATCCTGGAGTCAGCTGGAATCCACCACACAGTTTCCAAGCTGGAGAGAGGCAGATCAGATCTACATTTTGGATGTTCCTCTTTGATGGTAGAGTAGAGGGTGGTTAGTACAGGGTCAAAGTAGACGGGAAGGCCAGTAAGGAGATCCTGCAGTGGGAGCAATGAGAGCCTGGGGCAAGGGGCGGAAATGCGCTATCGCATGGGGGCTGAGCTTCTGAACCCTGGGTCCTCTCAGCTGGTCTCTGCCTCCTGCCCCATACAAGTCTCCACGCAGTCCTGACATTTAGGGCTCCTCCCGGGTGCAGCTGGGCCTGAGCCCAGGGTGCTGTGTTCTGAGTCTCGAGACATTCATTACACCTCTCCCTTCTCCTTGCCAAGCCTGGAACATGGCTTCAGATGGTTTTTGTCCCCACGGCCCAAACCTGCTGGCATGTTCTTTTGGTGTAAAAACCCTCCCATGAACCACAGCAAAGCTCACTTTGGTCACTGTGTAGATTTAATTCCTGTCATCTACAGATCTGAGAGCTGAACTCTGTGCACCAAAATACGTCTGTGGACAGTCAGCAAAAAAAATGTACATATCTTGACTTTTATGTATGAGAGATAAGAAGTATCAGATGAACAGTCTTTTTTTCTCTCATGAGTTAAAACGCAAACTACTTCTTTGTGTGTAATGGCTGTTTGAACAATTAGGACAGCGATGGTCCATCAGATAACACCTTAAAACCTTCCTGATTCCTGATTCATGCTGCTGAGCTGAGTGCTACAACCTGTGGATCTTTCTGGTAACACTGTTATCTCTAAGGACTGATAAAGAGTTCACAAGCTTTTCCACTTAAAATCCCAGATAGCAAGCACACCAAAGCTTGAATTGTAAGGTTTTTTGCTTGCTTATTTTTTTGTTTACCTTCTTAGCATTCGGGAAGAGCACAGGAATGAATCTGAAATTCATACTTCCTTGTTTTATGAACTCAATCTGCATCTGGAACAGAAAGAATTTGAAGGTTTGATTTCAGGAATGAGGAGGAGGAGTTAATGGCACCCAGAACCCGGCAAGTCCTGACAGCATTTTTATTCTGATTTCCTTGAGTGCCACACACCGAGACTTTCAAGGTCTCCCCATTACACATGCATGCCATTCACTCAATTAATCATTTATTGAAGGCCTATTAAAGGTCACACTCTGTGCTAGACTTCGGGTTTCAGGGGTTAGGATACCTTCCAGGGCGTGCTCAGCGGGCTTGCCTCGGCTCACGAAAGCCAGTTGTGTGCCTCCCTTCCTAATTCTGTGTTCAGTGATTTTACACTGGTAGCTTGAAATTGGCCATGATGAGAGTACTTATACCATGGAAATGGGGAAATGCTACAAATCAGGTTTTTTTTTTTTTTGAGAACCAGGTTACCAGAACACTGCTGACCCGATTCCTAACCTTCCAAAGCCAGCAGATTGGTGAGCAGGAAGAAGGGTAAACTGCCAACCACAGGGCACTGTGAAAAGTATATAATTGCTGTGGAAGCCCAAAATGGGGGCCATCCATTCTGCATCAGTGATTTGAAGGGCAGTTACAAGGGAGGTGTCACTTAGATACTGAAAGACAAGAAGTTGGTCAGGCAGAGGAAGTAGGGGATGAGAGGAAGGACATTCTCAGTAGAGGAAACAGCATGAGCAAATGTCTGGAGGTGTGAAAGAACGTTGGTGGGGTTGGGACCAGCGAGCAATGCTTTGTGGCTGGAGCACAGGATGGAGTGGGGAGGGAGTGGGAGATGAGACTGGGGGCCAACTGTGAGGAGCTCTGCCCGCCACACTGTAGGTTCCCCACACAGTTCCAGTTTGTTCTGACACCGCGGTGGCCCCCAAAGACTTAGCTGCCAAGAACTCTATCAAACCCAGAATTTTCAAGGTGAGGGGAGCTGGAGTCTTCCTAGTGCTGTGACCAGCACAAAGCTCTCAGTCATCTGATGACAAGGAGATGAGGAATTATGTGTTCCCAAGTATTTCATCTTCCGATTGATTTTTTATCACTGAGAAGTCTTCATTGTGCAGGGGAATAAAAACAGGACAGAGAAGAAAGTGACAGTGGTGACAGCTGGTTATTGAAGTCACCATAGAAACCCCCTCATAAACACACACACACACACACACACACACACACACACACACACACACTTGCACACACGAATGCTCCACAAGGTTTTTTGTTCTCAGAACCACTGTCTTAGTTTAAAGTGATCTGTGTACTGTGCAACATGTAAACACCAATCACCAGGACAAACACGTGAAAGGAAGGGCACAGGTTTATAAGTTACAAGGGAAGAACTGGATTTAGTCTCTGACTTCCATCCAGGACACTGAATCCGTAAAGTTTTGCTTGTCCACTAAGCCGCCCAGTCGGCTGGCGACCAAAGAGCCGCAGTGTATGCTTTCTCTCTTATTTCCAGATCTGGGCTTTTTGTGAGGTCACTGGCCGTATGATGCCGTTACTCATGGCTACCTCTTCATTCCCTCTGTCCTAAAGGCTTCTGCTGCCCGGAGAGGACCTGGAGGTCTTCTTATCTGGCCTCCTCAACCCCTCCAGTGATAAGGAAGGACCCAAGACATCGTTGTCCCCAGAAAACTGAGTTTGGAGGCAATCTGGCTCCTGGCGGGGCACCATCAGACAGGCTCTGGGGTTGGGCTGTGTTTTACTGCCTGGCATTGCCGCACACCAGCAGAGCTTGTCAGGTCCCCTCAGGAACTGGCAGGGACCGGAAGCCCATCCCACACACCAGCTGTCAGCTCCCAGGACCAGCAGGCTCCTAGAGATGCAGACAGGACATGGAGTGCTTTGGGGCCATGTAGACCTGCAGCAGCCAGCCGTGACCCTTTGCAGGGCCCTGCCCATGGGCTGTCAGACTGGGAGAGGATGGAATGGCGGACGCTTATCTCCTGATTCCTTGGCCTTACTCTCTGACCTGACCACCCTGCCTTGGCCTTTACTCTGGGTTGGTTCTAATCTCAAATAAGTGGTAGGCACTTGCTAGAAGAGGAGACAGATGGGGAAGCCTCACCCACCCACCCACCCACTCTGCCTTTTTCCTGTGCTCCTGATCCACAGGACAGACCCGGACTTCAGTCAGCTTCCCCTGAGGTAAAGCTGCCCGTCTCAGGCCTGCCTGGGTCCTGCCTTGTGCCGCTTACTTATTCCGTCTGGGCCACTTCAGCGTCCTGCCCCATACTCCCGTCTTAGTCTGTGGTCCTTTCTGCCCATTCCAGGTGCCTGTGGAATGTTCCAGTTGGAATGGAGCTTACAAGTTCTAGTCCAGTGGATGTCAAGCCTTTTTAAAATCTCAGAATCTTTGGTAAACAAATAAGCCTGAGAAAGGCAAACCGGCTCTGGCTGAGGTGGGGTGGGAGGCTCAGAGCCGCTCTGACCCCCAGCACCGATGGGCACCCAGTAGGGACTCCACAGAACATTTTGAAAGTCGCAAGTCTATTCCAGCGTCCTAGTGAAGCGGAACTGTCTCCACAGCATCTCTGTCATCCTGGAAAGCAGGGAGATCACTAGCTCACAAAACAGCCAATTCCAAAGCTGGGTGATATTTTTGGTCAGAACGTTCTATCAGATGCCAAGCAAGCCTATCTTCCTATAAATTTCTCCCACTGGCTTTAGTTTGGCCAGGCCCCATGGTTCAGGTGTGGCGGTGGACCGTTGCGCATCTACCATGAGCTCAGAACAATCCCTCCCCTTGATCTGAGCATCGAGATGTGCCATACACTTCACAGACATTATTTCACTGAATCTTCACAACACTGTAAGTGTCAGTGACCCATCGTATGATGAGGGACACGGAGGCACAGAGAGGTTTAGGCAGGTGGCCCACGGTCACCCAACTATACACGAGGAAGCAGAATTTGAACCAAGTCCATGTGACACAATAGCATGCGTCCTTTCCACTCCGATACTCTGCGTCTAAGTCAGGGGACAGAATAGGACACAGATGCAGGAGCCCGCTCTCCTCACAGCCCTGTCCCCGGCCCCTCATGGGACTGCCCATTTGTTGGTGAACAACCAAGCCAGCAGAGCACTGTTTTCCAGAGCCTTGGGAGTTAGAGTTCACAGATGAATCTCCCCTTGCTACTGACAGGAACTGAGTCCCAGAGATGGGGTCACTTGCCCACAGTCCCGAAGGTTGCCAGGGCCAGAACCAACATTGCCCACTCCTGCCTGGGGTTCTTTACCCCTCACGGTGCCACCTTCAATTGGTCTCTAGCGGAGGACAGGCCTTCACCGAAGAAAGCGCCCCTCTGTGAGGGGCGGCGAGGTGCTGCGCTCCCCTCACCACTCACCATTCGATGAATGTACTTAGTATGTAAGCCATGCTCATCCTCGTCCAGATGCGACTCAGCACCTTCCACGTCCTGTTTGTATTTGGGGCTGATTGCTACAATTATCATCACTGTCTTCTGTTAATGAGAGAGAAAGCATGTTTATGGAAGTGTAAAGTGCGGTCCATTTGGTGAAGGCAGGCTGGAAACCGGCCAGCAGGGCTGTAAGCGTTCTGCCAGACTCCCGACTGGAGGGCCCGGCTCCTTCTCCGTGGAGAGTGAAAGGCCCCGTCCCCCCTCTCGGGCAGACTCCTGCCTCCCCTTCTCCCCTCCGTCTCCCTCCCGGCTCCCTTCAAACGCAGCTCTGCGAGAAGCGCTCCTTAAGGGAGGCGGTGCTGCCCACCATTTTGCAGAGTCATCACTGACAAACGTCTGACGGAAGGCCGAATCACCAAGCAATTCCGCATGGTGGCAGAGAGGCTGTGCAAGGGCGCGGATGAAAAGCCCCCTCCCTCCGGCCGCTGGAGGGAAGCTGTCGTTCCTGCGCTCCTGACCGCCCTGCTTGCGCGCGTGCCCTTCGCACAGCCACGAGGAGCGGCCCCCTCCGCAGAGAGCGGACATCAGGCTGCAGACAAAAGAAACCACAAAGCCCCAGCCTGCTGAGACTCTGTCCCCCACCGCTCGCTCCAAAAGCAGCAGCTGAAGCAGCCGACACGGACACACTGGCAGCAATCAATTTCTATCTTGTTAAAGCACAGAGTGTCCCAGTGGTCAGTATAGATTCTGTCAGTGGAAAACAAATCACAGGGCTGCGAGTGGGCGCCTGGGTGGGGGGGCGGGGAGGTGCGCGGCACGGGCAGCCTCCCGGGAAAGCTCTGGAACCCGATCCTGCAAAACACTTGGGGTAGCTTCGGATTAAATTGAATTCTGTCGCTCCCACCCTACTCCCTGCCTTCATTTCCTCTTTTCCCATTCTGGTCAAAAAAATTGTTTGCTCTGATTGTTATCAACCACCTGTGTCTGGTTTGACCGTTATTTCCTGCCTGTGCATGTCCACGAGGGTGACCCCATCCTTCCTTTGCAGGTCTCTGCACGGCTGCCAACAAGGGAGGCTTTGTTGGGACTTTCTCAGCTTTGGACTTGGTGGGTTTGCCAGGGCTTCTTTCATAAAATAACTCTACAGGCGAATTGTCTTTTTCCACCAGAAAATGAGCTCAGAATTTGGGAATGTACTTACATCTCTAAGGTAGCGTTCCATCCACTTAATGATATCAATGCCTCGGATTCTATCCTCAAATATGTCAATCTACAAGAAAAAGATGTGGGAGGTGGCTCTTAATGAGGAGCTTTCTCTAGAGCAAGAGAAAATACAAGAGACTACATGCATTTAAGATTGGCAAAATTACGAATGATTTTGCAGGGAGGAACATGTAAGTCTAAAAAAGTCTAAAAAAACCAAAATACAGTTTTCTTAAAGTGTTCCCTATTTCAACATTAGTAGGCATTTAAGTATTTAATATCCATTATTAGGATATAGTGGTACACATCAAAATGTATCTTTGGCTACACAATAATTATGTTTTAAAAATCTCAGAGACATAGTAGACCAAGTTGGATATAAGCCAGCTATATATATATATGTGTGTGTGTGTGTAATTTGAAAGGCTAACATGATATCAGCCTGGAACATTTTAATGAATGTGTGGGGTGAGATACTGAGATACAATTCGGGCACTTTCCTTGCATTAGCCAGGTCGTTATTGTGGTATTATGTCCAGTTTCGATCTATCCGTTTAAAAAGGATTGTATGAAACTTGGAGCAAATCCAAGCAACAGTCGAAAAAACAATTACTGAGATGGTGGGAAAAGGTTTACGATGAAAGTCAAGAAGCAGAACTCTTGGGCCTTGAAAAGACTGATATTAAATATCAAGTCTTCAAAGGAATATTTGAAGGGGAGAAAAACTAGTTATTTTCTATTTTTCAGAAGACCAAATAAGGCAGCCTTTCTGGGGCTCCGGCTTGTTGGGCAGCCAGAGAGTAATGTGCATGTATATAAGGTGCTCTTGCTTAGAAGACGGATGCTATACTGGAATGGCTGACTCGGGAACAGTGTCCTCGAGGAGGGGTATATGATTCAGCCACACTGCTCTCAGATCAGTTGTCCTAAATGTCACTCCGCCATTTAAGACTGATCGAGTCCTAGCCATTCGGCAAGCTCTCCAGGCCATCTACCTCTTTTCTTCACGTGTCCTGTCTGCTTTACTCCCGGGCACCCTGAAAGCATAGCACAAGCCTCCCTGCTCTGTGAATCCTCCCTACACGCTGACTTCCTCGTGCTCACCTCACCCGCCTCTGCCCCATTGTGACCAGTGGCCCTGGACAGTTAACACATTATTATAACATCCTTTCATTTGCTAAATGTCTCGTGTATGTCTGCCTTACCTCTTCATCCTGACTCTACTCTTCCTGTGCAGCGAGAAAGTGCCTCGAGTACACCAAACTGTCAGACACATACAGTACGTCAGGCAAGTTCAGAATATGTTTCTTTACTGATGGAACATCAAAAATGGAATGGCTTTCCTTTTGGCTTGGATGATTCCTGTTTTAAAATGTCAGATGGCCGGGCGCCTGGGTGGCTCAGTTGGTTGGGTGACTGCCTTCGGCTCAGGTCATGATCCTGGAGTCCCGGGATCGAGTCCCATATCGGGCTCCCTGCTAAGCAGGGAGTCTGCTTCTCCCTCTGACCCTCCCCCCTCTCATGTGCTCTCTCTCTCTCTCTCTCATTCTCGCTCTCTCAAATAAATAAAATCTTAAAAAAAAAATAAAATAAAATGTCAGATGGCCAGTGACCACATGGTATGTACCACATACATGAGGTAATCTTGAGAAAGCTTGTGTGGCATTCTGTGAGTGGATTGGTAACCCCCTTCTATTATATGAGACAGAAGCAATATAACGTCGGGGTTGAGAAGAAACAGACAGCTGGACTCTCTTCTTGGTCTACTCTTGGCTTCTGCACTTCCCACTTGTATAACTTTTAAAACATCACTGAAACTCTCTAAGTCTTATTATCTTTATTTGTAATATGTGGTTAACAAACCTACTTCCCAGGATGGTTGTAAGGATTAAAACAATTGGACATGGCAATATCATAATGCCGGGCTTGAAGTTAATTACTCAATAAATGGTTATTTTAATTGTTAACCCAGCACCTAAATTATTTCTTGCTACTGAGGTGGGCTTTCTGGGAGGCAGAATATGCTGGATTGTCTTTCCAGATCTCCACCAAAGTCCATAGCTTCTGTACACAGCCACTGTTACAGGCCAAATTGTGTCCCCCTGCCCCATTCATTATTTGAAGTCTTAACCCCCCACTGTCTCAGTGTGACTGTATTTGGAGATAGAGCCTTTAAAGATTTAATTAACGTGAAATGGGGTCCTCTGGGTGGGCCCTGATCCAACATGGCTGGTGTCCTTAGAAAAGGAGATTAAGATGCACGAAGCAAAGACCCCGTGAAGACATAGGAAGAAGGTGGCCATCTACAAGCCGAGGAAGAGGCCCAGAATGAAACCAATCCTGACGACACCTTAATCTTGGACACGTCCAGCCTCCAGAACTATGTGGAAATACATATCTATTGTCTTTATAGCGGCCCTAGCAAACCAATACAGCCTCCTTCTTCAGGTTGTAACCACTGTTCCCTTGTCTCTTCAGACCTAGGGGTGGTAGCAACTCCCGCTTTTGCTAGTCCCAGGATAGTGCTCTGTTCCCTGTGGATTTCTTAAAATTTACCTAGAGCTTTGAAAATTGTCCTTTCATTAAACTTCCCTTAGATTACCCATTAAGTGTTTTATTTTTCCTACTAAGGGGCTCTTAATGTATCAATATAGTAACCTAGCTGTCCAGGGTGGGGCTCTGTGATTCTACTACAAGGCTTCATAGTGATCAGGATCAAGGACAGACTTAAATTATGTCTAAGTAGCCCCTGATTGGTAAGGTCATAAAAACCTATCCTCTTTTCCAGGGGCAATCTGTATGCTTATTTGGAAATGACCAAAAGTAGGATCTTTTCTGAAATGTTGGCCTTATGACCTGCAATTTGATTTTATGTCGTGGTTGCCACAGTGCTTTCTTATTTCAGAAATGAGAAACTGAAATGTTGGTTCCTATGCAGTCACTAAGTTGGAATGTATATATTGTATACATTTTAAACTTGTGGACACTCCCATTAGAAAAAGTATAGGATAAAGAAAAAATTCAATAAAAACTGTTAAATAATGCCAAGCAATCATTAAAATAGACATTTCATTATTATCTCTCTTTTTTTTTATCCTTCAACATTGCTATTCATGGTTGTTTTCCTTAATTTTTCACCACTCTCTAGAATTCACTGTCACTAAATGCCCCAAGGGGGCCTCTGGGAAGGAAAAGATGTGATCTCAGTGTTTTAGGAAAGCCAGCCCTTGGAGTGGCCTCTGGTGGTATTTTATTTATCCTACAGAAGAGCGTACATGACTAAGCTGTGCTGTTGGAAGGCACTGCAGGGAAACTTGGGGAGTGTGTGCTTCCTGAGATTCCTTGAGCCAAGATCACAGTGCGCCACAGGCCTGGGTTGTCTACCTCCCCTGGAACTAGACTAGACCAGCTGAGAACCTGGCCGTGGAGTCCTTCTCCGGAGAGCCGTGGCCCCATCAAGGTGTGGAAGGCAGCTGGGCACAGTGGGCCTTGTACTTCAGGCCTCACCGCCCAGGGCCCCACAGAAGGACCTGGTACAATAAGCAGGTGGCCTGGGGAAGCCTGCAGCCTCCTGCACCACAGGAATCGCAGCCAAAGCAGTCGTGCTTGGTGAAAAAGGGCAAAGGTCTGAAGTGCAGCAAGAGCCCAGGATTTGCTTCAGGCCAGGGGCCACGCTGCATTTGCAGTCTGGCTGTTTGGAGGTACTCAGAATCGCTCAAAAAACATGCAAGAAATAAGTGCTAGAGCCTCTGGATAGCTTAAAACCTGGAAAATAATTACCTCCATCCATGAGCATTTAGTTCATAATCCCGTAACTCAAATAAGATAGTTTGAAACCTCAACAGTTATTTATATTTTTTTCTCCCTTTGTTTTTCTTCTCATTGTACTCACTTTAATCGTTCAGCCTTCTCTCGAGATAAAATACTTACTGCAGTTTGGAAGCCATTTACCAACAAGAAGTTCACGAATTTCACCACCTCCATGGCTGTGTCCATAGAATAGGTGATAAAGACTTTCCCTAAGAGAGATTTTTTGCATTTATTAGAAACTAGTCAGATTATTCTATTCCGAACACTTGTAAATTGTATGTGATGTCTTTTGTCTTTCTAGTATAATAAAGTAAAACTTTGGGATGGGGGTGGTCTGAGGGCTTACGCCGGCAGCTGGGAGAATTGCTGTCCTCAGGACATAGACGCACAGGCCCCAAGAGGCCAAGAGGCAGGGGGTCTGTCTAAGGGGGGTGCAGACTGCCCAGTGTGCAGGAAAAGAAGAATTCTGGCAGCCTGAGACAAACCAAGGAGATCTGCTGAAAAACCACGTGAGGCATTAACAAAATCCATCACCCGGAACCCGCAGGTCCTTGAGATCAGGCCACCTCCTGGTTTCTTAGAGACACTTGGCACTGTGCCTAAGGAATACTCTCGCAGCAGGTCAAGAAGCTGAACCTTGCTAAGGGGCCACCCAGCAGTGTCCTCTTCTGATCTCATGATGCTCTCTGTTGCCCTGAACTCTTGCTTGACAAGAGCAATTAGGGGAGAGGGAGGAAGTGGTTCCTTACCCCCTCCTGCCCTTTCTCCACTCACTGGTGGGAGAAAGGTCAGGCGGTTGGGGTACATGAAAGCAGAAATGTTATAGGAACGCCAGCGGCTTGAAGGACAGATGCCACCTCTGGGCATCCAGCATCACTGACTCCCTGCCTCCTCCCTAGGTCAGCCTGGAGCCACCGATGGCATTGTGCCCATGAGCCTGACCCAGTCAGGACGCAAACCAATGTTTTCTCAGGCTAAACTCTTGTGGGAAATTATCTGGCTAGCATGTTAATGTGACAGATGAATAATCCCTGTGTGTTGGCTTTTAGTCTTGAATGGACAGGCTCAATCTCAGGAAGTCCCTGGGGCAGAGAGTGGAGAAGAAAGGAAGGCTAGAGAGAAAATATAAGTGTGTGTATATTCATCTATGCTTGGGCTCTGGTCTTTTTTTGAAATAGATATCTCAAATAGAAGTGTGTACAATGGTCATATTGACTCATTTCAAACAGCCAGGCATATTGAGAGCACTCAATGTATCCTTAACACCTACTATTCAACCAACTCCTGTGTAAGAATTTTAGGACTCCTTTATAGACTATAGTAAGATAAATATGATCTATAGACTGACATCAGGGTTCTATCCTATGCAAGGCAGCATCCATTCTCCAGAAATACTCAGGATTAAAATGTGTAAGATTTTGGGCGCCTGGGTGGCTCAGTCGTTAAGCGTCTGCCTTCGGCTCAGGTCATGATCCCAGGATCCTGGGATGGAGCCCCGCATCGGGCTCCCTGCTCTGCAGGAAGCCTGCTTCTCCCTCTCCCACTCCCCCTACTTGTGTTCCCTCTCTCGCTGTCTCTCTCTCTCTCTGTCAAATAAATAAATAAAATCTTTTAAAAAATAAATAAATAAAATGTGTAAGATTTTAAGAAGATTAAAAAATTTTTTTGAATGATAAACAACAGTGGATCTTTGCCATAGAAATCTTCCAGAGTCCTAAATGACTAGAGAGCACAGATTCCCTGGATGGGAGTTAGCAAATGCAAAAGGCTTAATTTTCATATTTGGTTCAAAGAGGCACCCAGATTTGTAAAGGGCTTCTTAGAATTACCTGAGCTTCTCTAGCAAGCACAACAGAATATAAGAATTTCACAAGTAGTGGCTGCTTTTGTAAGATTTCTGGAACTTACTGTCCTGACTGACCTTAACATGAGACCATTTTGGTGATATTTCAACATTTCGGGTTCTGGCTGCAAAATATGGAAAAAGAATCATCACCTGACACTTAGTCGAATGTTTCTTTAAATAAAAGGCTTAGTTTGCATTTGGTTGTAAATCAGTATGGAGAATGTGAGACCACTTTTTCCAAACAAGATTGCTCACTCCTACAGGAAATGACCTCGTTCTTGATGGCTGCGGCTAATTTATGGCGAAACGCTAGGTCCCTGGCCAATACCACACGGACATCCAGTCAATTTACCCAGGGACTAGTCCACTCACGACCATCATTTAGAAGAGAGAAGCATTGGGATTGTCATTGGAGTATATGCTGAAGAAAATCTTGTGGTAAGCATTTTGTGAGGATTGCTGGTAGTGTCAGAATCACTGAAAACATCCATACAAAATGCTGGTTACTTTTTTTGGTGAAGAGTAAAGAAGTAAAATTTATTTCCCAAGATTATGAGGGAATAATCATCAAGTACTCTGAAAGTATAAGACCTGACAAAAAGAAGGAAAAACAACATTGCAAACAACTTACGTAACTCTTCTGGCAAATTGCTTGTTTTCAGAGTCCCTCTGGCTGGAAGGTTACTAAGGGGTCTAGGGACAGCAGCTGGGGATGGAGCCTGGGGACCTAGGGCTCTCAACTCTGCAGGACACTCCAAGGACTCCTCAGGAACTCCAGCTCGATGAGGTGGCTGGTTATACTGTTGGTCCCTGGAAAAGAATACATTTATAGTCAAATTTTCATTTTGTACAAAGGCAAACCCGGAGGGACAGAAAGCCTTTGAGATAGCAGTGAGCTAGCTCTCTCCTCTGCCTCCGTTTCTTTTCTGGGCCAGAAGGACGAGGGTTGCTTCATTTAAGTCAAGTCAATAAGTAATTCGGCTGGCTGCCACATGTAAGGACCCATGTTAGGGGTCGAAAGAGGGAGCTTGATTCGATTTCTCCATTCAAGGACTGTCTAATTGGGAAGATAAGTGGTATGTACAAGGCAGACATGGTCACCAATAAAAGTAGTATGATGGGTGATATACAGGGTTGGTGTTATAGGCATTCAGATAAAAAGGCAGGACTTTTAACTCATGATAGATAACATTTAATTATGTATCAAAAGGTAGAAAAGGCCTTGCAGGTTTAAAGTATGTTGTTGCTAATATATGGATGAAAATCTGATTTTGAAGACCCTTCAGAGAAGTTTCTACTACATTGTTCTATGGCATCTTTCTTATTTTTTTGGTTGCCGGTATTCCCATGAACGTCGTGCTGAGAACTGCCAGATGCCCTTGTGGGAGATTTGGAAAGCCGAAAGAAGTGGAAACCATGCTTCGGCCACTTCTGCGGTTTCTGTCGAAAAGTGCTGCCGTGAGGTGCTGAGTTCCTCAGGAGGCATCCCAGTGTCCCTTTACCAGCCTCCCGTGTCAAGGTGAGGGCAGAGGCATCCATTTTGGGCCAGTACAGATCTAGCAGGTGCAGAATGGGTCCAATCGTTGCAGCGATGGTGGCTTCCTGATTCTGGATTGTACTATGGCAGCATGGCCTCGAACCGAGTGTTCTCTGGCGGCTTTCTGATCTTCTGCTTCTCTCCCTGTGATGGAGGAAGGAGCTTCTTCGGCGTCCCGTTCTGTGGTGCTGCTCTGGGCTCTTTCCTGGAAAGCTGGCCTAAAGCTTGCTCCTCCAGCCTCCAACAATTCTGTAAGTGCCCACTCCTCTATGTCAAATCCCTTCCGCTGAAAATAACTAGAGTTGTTTCTGGTTTCTGTCACTGAATCCTGACTGATAGGGGGGCTAACACTGCGTCTATAATGTTTTATTTCTTAAAAAAAACCTCTGAAGGACGTGTGGCAATATGTTAACATTTTAAAAATCTAGGGAGTGGAAACCTGGATATTTGTTATTTATTGTAGGTTTGAGATTGTTTTATATTCTAAATTTTAAAAACTGTTTTGATTTCCAAATTGATGTGTATCTGCCCAGTTTTTATAGATTATTGCATATGCTTATATTTTTACCCAAGAGTAAGAAAAATTTTGAAAGTCTCATGCAACGGGATTTAAAATAAAATTACACAGAATCTCAAGTGTACTATATTTCTGAAGTGTGAATGTTTGAGGAAATTATTTTTGTTTTACATTTTTACTAATATATAGAAAAACAATCCCTATAAAATATGCCCTCATCTAATGGGGACCCAGTTCCATATCCTTTTTGCATTAAATTCCTTTATACCGAAAGTTGCTTGGTTGTTATAGAAAACAATTGCTCATTTGATTAAAAAAAAATGTTAAAGCTTTGGTAATGTCAAAAAACTTCCATGTAAAAACAATATCATGGCTATTAATGACAGAGTAAAGTTTCTGTGTCAAGGTTTGCTTTCAAATTTATCACTAAGAGGAGGATTAGCTTCATTACCTGGACTTATTTTTCATTATCCTAAAATGATAAAATAAATCCAAGGAGACCATAGCAGGCTTAAATTGATGTTACCAAAGCAATTCTTCTGTACTAACTTCACAATTCTTCTGTAAATCTGCAAATATTTTGAAATAAATGTTTATTTAAAAAATTACCGTTGCCTCCCCTATCCAATGCCAGTGGACATGTTCCATAAAGATGCTTAAGTTTTGTTTTTTTTCTTGGACTTGTAGATATTTCTTATGCAAGAGTACTTATCTGGTTGTAAAATCACATTTTCCTGATTTCATTATTTAAACTCCATGACACTTTTTAAAGTTTATTTATTTAAGTAAACTCTTCACCCAACATGGGGCTTGAAGTCACAACCCTGAAATCAAGAGTCGCATGATTCTCCAACCGAGCCAGCCAGGTACCCCAAACTCTGTAATTTTGTTCTCAAAAAATAAGGGCTCTGTCAGAAAGGAAAATCTGAGAATGTATGGGCTTTTGAGGAAAGGGGGAAGCAGGCACGTGCCTTATCTGCCATCGTAAATAGAATGCGCTTTTCTTCTTTTAATGAACTTTCTGAGCTAATGACCAACTTCTGCATTTCTGAAAAATCTGCTTTAAAAGGACCTTTGTATCTCATTCTATTCTCAAAACAGAATGTAATTTTACTTTGAGTGATATATAAAAATTGTGCTTGAGCAAGAGCAAACATTTCATCTACTCTTCAATTTTGTCTTAAATTAAGGAGTTCCATTTCTAGGAGTTCTTCCTCTGTATTTTAGATCCATAAATTAAGAGAAGAGGAAAACGTGAAGAAGGGGCAAAGGAGAACAATGAGGGGAGACATGACTGAAGGTTAGACAACTGGTCTGGTCAAGCAAAGCCAGAAATGGTTTTCTGGAAGAAGTATCGGAAAGACCTAATAATGGCACTCCATATGTGTGGGTGCTTATATTACAAAAGAAAACAATGGGCTTTTTAAAGTTGCTACTGAGAGCTAATTGAATTTAAAATTTCAAAGTAAGACATGGGTTTAAACAGGTGTAGAAACTAGGGATATAAGCATGAATTTCCTAATGGTGGAAGTCAGTCACAGTAAAAACAAAAATCTATTTCTGGGCTAAAAGGCCAGGTGACTTGAGAGTAAAAGGAGTGCGTGTCCCTTGGCATCTTAAGAGCCTTTCCTTCAAGAGAATTTTGACGAGTCACCAGCGACTTTAATGTATCCGGTTAAGAGATTCTTGTCCACCAGCTGCCATTTCCTCCTGACTTGAAGAGTCTATTCCCCCACGGGGCTCGGTCACTAGCCTGGGTCGCACACCAACAGAGAGTTGTGTTACATCTCGATCCCATTGGCATCATTCTTTTCCCACTAAAAAATGTCTGAAAGTTGGCCCTGTCATAGTATACCTCTGGAGCCCTGGGGAGGAGTAGTCTCTTTGTGCGGGCCTCTGGTCTTGGTTCCAGGGGCTGGGGTAGTTCAGGACAACCTTTTGCACAGGGTGCGGGCCCCTCACGCTGGCTCCAGGGACGGGCTGCCCGCACACAGCTGGCTGGACCACTTGCTGGTAGGCTGCTCGAGGGTGGTCGTGGCCACCTGTAGGTGAAGACAGCAAAATGAACGGGGCAGAATGACTCTAGGGCCTTTGTGTGAAAGCAGAAGCACACTGCCAATTTTTGTCTCCATACTGTGGGTTTCAGATATCAGTTACCACCTCTGTAATGCTTGCCATATTTCTGTACTATTATTTACTTGATTGTTTTCATTAAATTGAGTCATTTTTCCCTAAATAAAAACATCTGTGAAATCACGAGTTTGGTGTTCTAATTGGAAAGCACAGAGCTCCACACAGGCCTCTGTTTTAATAAGATACTTAGGATAATCCAACCACGAAAAACTCTCACACCACCATTCTGACCATAATTTTCCAAGTTTCTAGAATCCAAGGCTAGGAGAAATTATCTCCATGATAGATACAGAATCGCTACTCTCTTCTTTCCTTCCCCCAAGGGGACACAACACACACATACACACACACACACAGACACACACACACACGCTCACACATGCTCACACACACATATACCATTCCCTTAGGAAGAAGTAAATGAATGATGAAACTTGGCTCATACCTCTGGGAAGTAGCTAACTGGCAACACCTCCCAACTTTCTTGGTCTTCTCTTGTTAAAGCCTACATGCACTTGGGGCCACGGCAGTTAGAAAAGGGCAGGCCCCGGGGCACAGACAGGGCTGGTGATGACTTATGTGCACATGTAACCTACAAGAAAGTGGGTCCCAGCCAGGCCCTGGAGCAGCAGGGTCCCCAGGGAAGAGGGGCAGCCTGCCTGACCAGGTGAAAGAAGAGAACTGAAGGCCAGAGGAGGGATGCAGAGAAACCAGGCAGGGGGAATGAGGAAGCCCCTCAGGGACCTTGCCCAGGCCCCAAGGGGCTCAAGTGGGAAATCTAAGCTGTAAGTGTGCAGATGCGCCTTAGGGATGGGTCTAGCCTACAGAGGGGTTGGAGAGAACTGAGTGGATAAACGGCAAAATAAACCATGAGTACCTCCTCGCGATCCACACTCCGCCACCTCTGCCCAAGAAGCCGGGTGATCAGGAAGCAGAGCTGGTTACAACAAGAAGGAACCTTGTTTTTCAAAACAACATGTATTGGTCTTTATTCTTTTTCTGATAATAATAATAATAAGAAGAAGAGAATGTTTGCTGGGGCACCTGGGTGGCTCAGTCGTAAAGCGTCTGCCTTCAGCTCAGGTCGTGATCCCAGGGTCCTGGGATCACGCCCCGCATCGGGCTCCCTACTCAGCGGAAAGTCTGCTTCTCCCTCTCCCACTCCCCCTGCTTGTGTTCCCTCTCTCGCTGTCAAATAAATAAAATCTTAAAAAAAAATAATAATAATGTTTGCTTGCTGTGAAGGTAGGATACATGCAGGAAGGTAGAGCAAAATAAAACTAGCAGGCAAGCAAGCAAGCCACAGACAAGGTAGGTTGGAACCAGAATGTGGGGGGGTGAGAACATGGCTGGGAATTTTATTCTTGGTTTGGCAGTCAGCAGCCCTGGACGTTTTCAGGGGGAACGATAGCCTCAAGTGTAGACAGAAAACAAATAATGTGCATCTTCACTGCCTCCAGGTCTCCACTGCCTGACTCAGGCAACTTGGCTGGGTGACCCTGGAAATGTGGCCAAGCCAGTCTCTCAAGCATGGTCAGGTTCACCGGGTTCAAGCTATTGTCTGCTTTGACACAGGACACCAGCCAGGTCCCTCCTATCACCTCTCTAATCCAGGCTGTCTCCTGGCCCTGCCCATTATGCCTCCCAGCAACTGCTTAGGGCTGGTCTTGATGTTGGGGGCTTAGGGAAGGGGAGGGGGGTGAAGGGATGTTCCTGGATCTATCTCAGCTCCCTGGCTGATAAAGGAGACCGGACTTGGAGAGCACCTCCACGAGTGGGGACCTAGGACTGCATGACAAGATATACCCCACAGATTTTGCTCTTACTGCCATTCCGGGGCAGGTCGCATATATGCCAAGGGGTCCAATGGCCAGGTAGAATTTCAGGACAGGGGCACCTGGGTGGCTCAGTCGGTTAAGTGGTTGCCTTTGGCTCAGGTCATGATCCCAGGGTCCTGGGATCGAGCCCTACATCGGGGTCCCTGCTCAGCGGGAAGCCTGCTTCTCCCTCTCCCTCTGTCTGCTTCTCTGCCTACTTATACTCTATTTCTCTGTTAAATAAATAAAAATCTTAAAAAAAAAAAAAGAATTTCAGGACAACAGGGCAGGTTGTTACTATTGCTCCTTTTCCCTAGAAAAGGGAAAAAGTACCACGACCATCAGGTCCCCAGGCGTGGGCCAGCCCTGCTTTTAGAGGAGGCTTGTATGAGTGGATCATTTACAAAACCAGCTGCAGCTACAACCCTCCGGAGATCTCCCCTTGCACTTAAAATCCTCCTTGCATGATTGGGTCCCTGCCCTTGACCTTAGCCCCTCGTATGCTCTCCCAAGCTCACCAAGCCCCAGCTACCCTGGTCATCTTTCTGCTTGAACACCCCAAGCTTGTCCCTCACTCTGGGACCGTGAGATGGCCATCCTCTCTGCCTAGCATGTTCTTGCACTCTATCTTTACAGAACAACTTCTTGTCGTTCCGGCCTCAGCTCCCACACTAGCCTGTTCAGAGGGGCCCACCCCCTCACCCAGTTGCCTTAATCTATCCCCCCGATTTTATTTTCTTCATAGTGCTTATCATGTATATGAGTAAGCATGACCCTTACTTGTCAACTTTTGGTCTGCCTTCCCTACTAGCATCGAAGGTCTGTGAACAGAGATTGCGTGCTCTCAAAGCCAACTTCCCACACCCAGAAAAAGAGAAGCCATGAGACCGGCCACTTATCTGCAGTCCACTTTGGTCTTTTTTCTCCAGTGTCTCCCTCCACAAGTAGAAAGGAGAAAGACAAGGTAAAAGAGGAGAAACTTTGCCAGTGGCCTTGAAAGTTTTTAATGTTTGCAACCATTTTTGCTTCCCATATCCATTAATAAGTGGCTAATAAAGGTTTTATTTGCTTTAAAAGGACCACCAGGCTCTAATCATAGGGTTTGTTTCTTTTCCAGAGAGCGGATGTTAGTGCTCTTAATCAAAAGCCTTTGAATCAAGGTCATGTGATTTCTAACAGATTATTTCCCGCACAACATGTTTTTGTCTCATAGCAACAAATCGTGTCATTAAAATCAGTAAGGCATGTGGGCTAAGGTTTGATTAGCTGTAACTTTCATTTCTGAAATGGCCACCTGCGGTAAAAACCTACACCGGTTTCCACAAGCAGATGAAAATGATCCACCTTACCAATTTTTAAGAATTGACAATAGAGTCCTCTATGCTGGGCTTTGATTGGTTAAAACAAAGAAACATTGAACACCAGAGGGTCAATCAAAAACAAGCTTTCCCTTTCTTGAGTGAAATTTTGTTGTGTGGAGAATTGGCTAAATGCAAACGTTTATCAGGTAAACGAGGATCTTTTCATTGCTCACGTTTTAATCATTCCGTTCCATGATTTTGACCAAACCTTGCTCGTCTAGTTGGGTACTCTCTGTAGAATCGTGGCTTTCATTTATTGAACACTCACGACGTGCCAGGTACTGTACTAAGTTTCTTATTTGGGATTATAGAGTTCAATTTTCTGTTTTCCCAAAGAAGTTTAACTTAGAATAAAATCCAATTCCCTACCCTGGTCCTTTCGGCCTTCACCTTCTGGCGTTGCTCACCTTGCTCCAGGCCCCCTGGCTTGCTTTTGGTGCCTTCACTACACCGAGCTCCTTGCTTCCTTCACTTTCTTATCCTTCAGATTTCAGCTCAGCTGTGTCCTTTTAAAGAGGTCTCCTCTTGCCATCCTACTAATGTCTAACACCCAGTTTCTTCCTGCATAGCACTTAAACCTTGTTGTTTTGTTTGCTGATTTCTGTCTGGCTCTCTAGGAGACTGAACTCCATGGAGACAGGACCACAAGTGTTTTATCACTGTACACCCAGTGCCTAGCATGGGACTTGGGGAAATACTTGTTGGATAAACTGATAAATGAATGGACAAGCTCTGCTGCCAAGTCCCACTGGCCTCCCTCCTTTTCTCCCCTCCCCACTTCCACAAGACCATTGAAGACGGCCTTTCCAAGGCTTGCTATCACAAAGGCTGTACTCAGGATGGGGGATTACTCCTTTCCCCAGGAGGCAGGGAACAGAACTTCTTCTTATTCATTCAACAAATATTTGTTGAACCTCTGTTGCTAGCCATGCAGTGAACATAGATAAATAGGATACAGTTTCTTTGAGTAGCTCAAAATAGATAAAGAGAAAATCTGTGTGTCTGTGGGTGTCTGTTTTGAAACACAAACCTGTTAGTATGTGAGAAGGGGAGGCGTGCAAGTCGGCAGTCACCTACTTGGTAGACTTAAGAATTTCTGCCCCCAAAATATCTCCCCCACTGACTTGTCCTCAGTGCCTAAAATTCCAGCAAGAGAATTTATTCTGCAGGAGCCTGGAGGATAGAAGGTGGTGGATGATGGAACAGACAAGTGATTTGTGAGCACGGTAACGCCGCAATTCTGAGGCAGGGTTAATCACAGAACAAAAATACAAATCTTGCACACTTGTAAATGGGTGCCCGGAACTGTATGTTATTTATCAATCTTATGATCCTCTTGGCCTGGGTACACACGGTCTTCATGTTACTAGCCTTTTACCACTTGGAATTTGTAAAACGAATCCTAAACAAAGTTTTCCACTTATCAGTCAAAACATTCAACGTTTTTCTTCCTTATTAAGCATGGTATTACAAAAGTATGAGAGAGAAAATAAAATCTGATTTTCAAGTTGTCAAAAAGCATGATGATATAATGCAATCAGTTTGGCCAGGAAACAAAATGGCCAACATAAACTGTTACCGGAACACCCACAGCTGTAAGCAGCTGTGGTTCCTGAAAAGGCAGCTCCTTTCTTTATCATTTCTTCCATCTGGGTTATTTTTTCCTTACTTTTAATTATACATGCACTCCAGCATACAAATAATGACTTTTTCGGGTTTCTATGAGTAATAGTAGGCATATGCCCACAGTTTTATTTTATTCAGTCTTCTTGGTAGAGAAAGCGAACATTTTAATAGTAAAATAAAGGCTGTTTGGATTTCATACATTCTTTTTTTTCCAAGTGATTTGCATCATGGGTTTTATTTGATTGCACAGCCATGATCTCCATTCTGGTGACCTTCAGTGGAAGGATTCTGAGATAGTAAGAGGCCAGCTTCGCTGAGGGACTGGTTGGGGGTAGGGGAGAAAACAGGAGCTTATTCGACTTCTACTTACTCTCTACTCATTTTCACCTGCTTTGAACTTTTTTTTTTTACATAAAAGCGGTGACAAGTAACTTATTCCTCCTTTAACTTGCAAAGACGAAGGTATGCCATTTGCATGGCGATCATTATTTATTTATATTTTCATTAACGGATGAGGAAGTAATGCTCTTGTAAAGCCACGTATAGAACCACGTAGCCATGGTTTCCAAGCACACGAGCATCCCTTAGGTGAACAGCTCTTTTGAAGTGGTTTTGCTGGCAATTAAGTGCAGTTATGGTCCTGACATGAAACTAAGCATTTGTATACCTGCTTTGAATGCTTAAAATCTGTGCCAGCCAGAGGGATCTGGAAGGGGAGGGGCGCTCTACAGGACCGGGCTGCAGGACCCTTGTAAGTAATAACAATAATAACTAAGAACTGCCATTTGGGGAGGGCTTCCATTCCCAGCACCTTCAGTATATTATCTCATTTAATCTTCAGAGTGACCTTCTCGGGAGCCCCTGGGGCCAGAGGCCTCATAAAGCTTCCCGGCTTGCAGTGCCCTGAGGAAAGACTTCAGCCCTGGGCTTCCCAGACAAAGCCAGCCCAACCCTGACCCTCCCCCCTCCCCGCAATTAGATGCTTTTGGGAGCCAGGGCCAGGGCAAAGAGAGGCACCGGGAATGAGGCTGCCCTACGCTCCCATTTCCCCGTATTCTTCTTTCTTCAGCGTTTACTTATTTTTAATTATAAAAATAATACCTGTTTGCTGTAACAAATTTAAGTATATAAAGCTAGAAGGAAAAGTCCCTCTGTCTCTTCTGAATTCCCTGCCCGCCCCCGCCACGCCGTGATCACTGGCAACAGTTAGGACAATCCTTCCAGACTTTGCAATGTCTGGGTTTTAAACACATACAGCTTTTAAAAATAACACATATGGAATCAGCACTGCATCTTGCTTATCCACCTAATCTTTTTTATGTCAAAATGTGTATTTTGTTCTATGTAACAGTGGCCCCATAGTCCACTGTATAAATAAACCACAACTTCCTTATCTGTCCCCTTACTGAGTGGCATCTGAATTGTTTTCCTTTTTACTCCACTACAACGATGCTTTCCTAAACATCCTTGTTCATGTGTTTTTATAGGCTTGTTTAGTGTTTCTATAGGATAGATCCTACAAGTGCGACTGCTGGGCCAAGGAAGCACATTTAAAATCTTGATAAATAGTGGGATTGCCTTCCAGAAGATTGTACAAATTGCCACTCCTGCCAAGAGCAGGCGGGAGTGTTCATTTCCCCATAACCCCATAACAATGGGTGTCAGCTGAGGATTTTTTCCTTTTTGCACACCTAATTAGGAAAAGGGTAGCTTAAAATTTTTTGCTATATATACACACACACACACATGTTTCTTAAATTTAGTAACGTTAAGCTTGGCTTCATATGCTTACTGTTTGTATGTCTTCTGTGAATTAGCCCCTTCTCCTGTCCAAATTCTCTCCTCTGCCTTTCATCACCTCTCCTCCCTCCCAGGACCCCCAGCGGCCTTCTCCTCCCCGCTTCAGTGGAGGGAAATAGTGTACTGAGGGAAGGCAGGACGGCTGAAGAGAGAAATCTCATCAGCTGGTATTAGAGACTAAAAGAGTCCCCAGTCAGGGGTGTTTGCATTTTAAAAGAGTCTGCCCAGAGGGGGGCAATGCGCACTCCCCTCCAAAGCCTGGACTGCTTGTGGTGTCATTTCAGGCTTCAACACAAAAAAATATTTGCAGGTGGGAAGATCTTTCTGGGATCCTCAAATCATATTGAGTTAATGCTTTCTTTGTCTATCACAATGAGGCTTTCTCCTGTTAGCAGATAAAGGCAACTGCCTGGGACTTAGGATCACAAAGCCCTTACTAAGTATTCACACTTGTACAGATTAATCTAAGGAATTCATCAGCAATGCAGATAGAAACTTACATACAGGATGCTTATCCTCGCATTGCTTACTGGATCAGAAACCGGAAACTCTTTCCATTGTCCAATAACAGAGAACAGCTTAAAAGCAATTTGGTAGATCCATCCGATTAAATACTATACAGCGTTTTTAAATGATGCCGGAAGAAGTGCACTGAATATCACTGGGAATTATTTTAACTTTACATAAATATATATATATATATATAAAAGTCAAAACCCCAATAAGGAATAATAGGAGATGGAAATATGAATGGGACTTTTAGGCATATTTCAATTTTGCAAGGAAACATACATTGCCATTATGATCAGAAAAATTATCTCTAAACGCAGATAGTAGAATGTTAAAAAAATAGTTGACGGTATTATCCTCACAGAATTATTCCCTTTTAACCTGGAAATCATTGAGAAATAAATGCAGCCCTGAGGCTGCCAAGGTTCACTCCTCAGTGATTCATACTTAAGGAACTCTGCCGCCACACCCATCCTATTACTGGGCACTTTGGGCAGGCAGCGGTGTCCACAACCCCAATCCGAGACTTCCCAACCTCCAAAACTCAAGGTCCCAGGTTTAGGCCTCCGAGGCTCTCTCTCCCCAAGCCCTGCTGCTTCCACCGCTCCTGGCCTCACTCTTAACCTCACAATCGTTCCTACATTTTTCTTCCAAACATCTTCTAAGTTCCTCCATGACTTAGCTCAAGTGTCCTTCTGGAAACCTGCCCAGATCCATGCCTCCTTCAGGCTCTGTTCCCTTGGGCTCTGCCTGTCAGAACACCTAATGTCAGTATGGCACCTACTCGTGGACTTGTCTACCTCTCCCCCCAGAACGTAAGCTTTGTATATGGGGACAAAAATTCCTCTCCCTCTTTTTTAAAAAATTAGGAATTAAACTGTTGCTCCATTCACTTTAGGAAGCTTTAAACGAGGTGTGCATGTACAAATACATAAATTATGATCGGTTACAACATTTTTGGTTATTTCTAGAATTTATTTTAAAGCTAGGCATCAGGCCTTTGGTCAGATGCTTTGGTCTGACCATTTGAACTGCTTTTTGTACAGCATTTATTTGCTAAGAAAAATATCATATCTCAAAGCCCTGTTATTTCCCAACAGCCTCAGCTGAGACTGAACATCAAGAATTGTAAAGGACCGGTGGCACCTGGGTGGCTCAGTTGTTAAGCGTCTGCCTTCGGCTCAGGTCATGACCCCAGGGTCCTGGGATTGGCCCGGCATCGGGCTCCCTGCTCTGCAGGAAGCCTGCTTCTTCCTCTCCCACTCCCCCTGTTCGTGTTCTCTCTCTCGCTGTGTCTCTCTCTCTGTCAAATAAATAAAAAAATCTTAAAAAAAAGAGAAGAATTGTAAAGGACTTTTATCTCAATCTAAGACTTTATCACTTTCAGAAATGCTTACTGCACTGATACACATTATTCACCTAGCCACTGATTCAGAAATAATTTATTGAGAGTCTAGTATATGCTGGTCACCGTGCTAAATGCTGGAGAGTTATGGATTAAAAATATACCTTTGCTGGGATACCTGGGTGGCTCAGTCAGTTAAGCACCTGACTCTTGAATTTGGCTTAGGTCATGATCTCATGAGTCATGAGATCGAGCCCCACCTCGGGCTCTGTACTGGGTGTGGATCCTGCTTAAGATTCTCTCTCTCCCTCTCCCTCCACCCCCCCCAACTTCATGCACACATGCTCTCTCAAATAAATAAATAAAATTAATTATTAAAAAAATGATATACCTTTGCTGATGTGGAGAGAGAGGTAGACAAATCCATGAGTAGATGCCGTACTGATACTAGGTGTTCTGACTGGCAGAGCACAAGGAAACTGAGAGCCTGAAGGAAGGATAGATCTGAGGAACTTTCCAGAGGGACCCTTGAGCTAAGTCTTACAAGGTGTATATGGTGATGGTTGTCTAAGTCTGCAAACACTACGATTCATTGACTTGTGCACCTAAATGGTAAAAGGCGAACCTTAACGTATGTAAATTAGATCGCAATAAAGCTGTTAACAAAAGAGGTACAGAGCTGGGTTAAAACGTTCAAGGAGGGGAACAACATCCCGGAGAGTGAAGAGCAAGGGCAAGCACTTGCAAGTGTGAAGCAGTTAGCCAGGTTCGGGGCACTGCAGTCCTCGAGGGTGGCCAGAGCGTACAGTAGAGGCGGCGGCTCAAGTCCCCAAAGGAGTTTAAGCAACAGCATCACAAGAGCAACTCAGTCTTCGGGGAATGGTCTGATTCCAGAGTTTTCAAGACCGTTCCGGGATTTTAGACTGAAGGCCCCCTTTCTTTGCCAAATCTACGATGGGCAAGAAGCATGCAGAGAAGGAAGAACCTAGATGCCCAAGAATTAAGTCAACAAAAGTATACTCTAGAAATCATTTGGGTCATATCCCTGTCTGTAGGCAGGTTTCAGTTAAACTAACTGAGACAGAGGAATCTGTTTTCTCCTTAAAGCTTTATAGAGAAGTAGGTTCCAAGTGGAACCGGCTTGGGCTAAGATGCAGCATTCTTCTAGAGCTCCTGGCAAATCCAACCACACACGGAGAGCCCCTATACTGGGAAGCAGAATGCCCTCCCTGCATTCTGACCAGTCTGTGCTGGTCTGGTGAAGCGAGGCACGGACGCGAGGCCCTTGTGTACTTAGTTACCCAGCCCAGAATGTCCAGAGGAGGTAAAGTTCACTTACATGGCACCTGGTGATAGGGGCCTCCAGCACAATGGTAATGACAGTTCCACTGAGCATGTGGGGGAGGGTTGGGAGGCAGCATCTGTGCACACGCTGGGTACCTCTGAGGTTCAAACTGAGGGAACTCCCTGGACCTGAGTGGTCTGGGGAGGTCCTGGGGGTAACACACAGAGGTGAGGGGCAGGGGCCTTTCCAGTTGCCTGATGCCCAGGACATCCTGGGGCTGGGAATCATACCCCGTGTCTACAGTAGGCAGATCTGGAGCTGCTCGGTTCCTGTGGGGCCGGGGCTGTTGCACCGTCTCTTGGCTACTGCCCGAGGAGTCTGCTGAGGCATTAGGTAAACTTTGGTCTGATTTGTTTGAGTCATGGCCAGTGTCAGGAGAAGCTGCTGAAAGCTGAGATCCTAGCCATTGATTCCGTTTTTCCATAAATGAAAACTGATGCTCGGGAGGGAGGCCTCCAACCACAGACTCAGGCTCATGCTTGCTGGCTGCGGAGGATCCCAAGGGAAAATCTTTGCCCGGGTCTGGGTGTCTCCTCCAGAAGCTGTCTTCGCTCTCCTCCAGGATTTTAGTGCGCAGGCAGGTGACCTGCTGGGACACAGGCCGTAGGTGATTTGAAAGTTTCAGGGGTGGCTGAGCCTGAGAAAATTCTCCTGAGGAACAGTGAGGGGTTCTGGGCACAGACAAGCTGTTGGGAGCCATGTTCCTTAGATTTGGAGCAGGTGGTTCTGATCCCTCTTCCAGGGAATAGTCTGGGCTTGGTTTCAGTAACTGACTTGGGTATGGTTCTGATTCATCAACCTCCACAGGAATGCTTCGGTTCATTCTAGTTTCTGGAACAAGAGAAAACATGCCACAGATCATTTTTTGGAGTCCCTGCTTTATGACCTTAAGGGACCTCATTCAAGATATGGATTCAATTAGCAGCAGTGTGACACCAACGTGCTTCAAAGCCCCAGTCGCATAAAGTGCTCACTTCTTCTCCAGCAAAAGCTCTAATGCTTATTAAGATATTTTTATATGGAAGGTGACTCAAAGGATGTGACTGGACAGTGATGTGATAGATGGCGCAACAGAAGGGCAGATAAAAATCAACAGCTAAGTATTGAGGAAAGAGAAATTATCGTGTGGGCTACTTTGTGTGTGCATGTAGACGTGTAAGACGTGTGTGCAGGATGCACCAGACTTCGGCATGTTGGTTGCCTTTGAGGATGGAGTTAATCAGGGAGAGTTTTCACCTTTTAAACTTTAAAAACTTTGCTGTGTGGCTATTGCCTAATCAAACACACACACACACACACACACACACGAAAGATTTTTAAAAAAACAAAAAGAAGAGTGAGTTTTTAAAAAGCACTGAAAAAAGGTCATAGTGACATTTTCCACTTAACAGCTATAGATTGTTTGCAGGACTTAATTCCCTTTGGTCCTATGCGCACAATTAAGGTAGCCCTGACCATCTGGTTTGTGATGAACTAGCAAGGCTGGCTAACTTCACCTTTAGCCCACAGTCCAGGTAATATTGGTTTTACCTATAAAAATAGAACTCTTGATCAACATGACAACAGAGAGAAAATTAGCCTCCCCTTATCATGAGTCTGGTTGAGATGATGCCCTAGGATACCCAAGCTCCAGGGGAAGGCAGGAGACAGGCAGGGAAAAAAGAGCAGAAGAGTGACTGAAGGCCTACAGAAGGCTCCAGAGCAGGTGGAGGGGGAGGGAGACAGCGAACAAAACATCCCAGAGGTTTGTTCTATGCAGGCCTTGGACATAATATCAGATAATACGGGTGGTGCTGCTGGTGGGGGATTTTTAAATGCGTATTCTGGGTCCATGTAGAATTTCAACCACAAACCTTTACTCAGGGCTTGCTGTGCCTAAAATCATGATGTACATCAATTATTGCTCTAAGACAAGTTTTGAAAAATATGAGCTCACCTTCTCTTGAGCCCTGGACCCAACCCAATGGCAACTGCACAGCATGCATTTTAAGATGCTCCCCTCTGAGCAGAGGTGGGACCAGCAACTTCCTACCAAATTTATCTTTTCAGCCTATAGACAGATAACCTCCGACTGCCCTTCCCCACTCTCTGTCAGGTGACAGAGTTAGCCACACTAACACTTCTCTTCCCCTCGCTTGGTGACAAACTTACCCATCTGCTGCAAACAACCTTTGTACTGTTTTCTGGCACAAAAGAAAACTCTTTCAGTTTCTAATTCCTGGTTGGCCCTCCCTCCCTGCCTCAGGCTCCCTCTTCTCCTGGCTGCCTCCCTTTTAAGCAGATGTCCAGGTGGTGGGTGCCCCTTGCCCCTGGACTCTGCAAAAAAGAGACCTCATCACCTACATTGATCAGACCTTGTAAAAATGAACAGGAACCTACCGCAAACACAAATATTTCAGCAAATAGCTGAAATAATAAATAATTATTTTTGAATGCTTACCATTGTTTTCCTCTCTTGCCTACAATTTGTCCATAGCTATGAAATTGGATATGCCAAACAATGTGCTCTTCAGCTGGTCAGGAAACAAAAGTATTTTCTGAAGGGCTGGCCAAGTGTTGTGGATTCTCCTGTGAGCATCTGCGGGCCCACAGCTGAATGGGAGGGCAAAGAGATGCCCCAAGGGAGTCAACTCACAAAAGGACTGCATTCTGTTGACCCTTTCTTGTTCCGTGATGCATGTTCGTTGCCCACACTTCAGGTGCCACTGTTGACATTTTCCCTGGGTTTTTTTTTTTTTTTAAGATTTTATTTATTTATTTGAGAGAGAGAGAGAATGAGAGAGAGAAAGCACGAGAGGGAAGAGGGTCGGAGGGAGAAGCAGACTCCCTGCCGAGCAGGAAGCCCAATGCGGGACTCGATCCCGGAACTCCAGGATCACGATCCGAGCCGAAGGCAGTCGCTTAACCAACTGAGCCACCCAGGCGCCCCTTCCCTGGGGTTTTTAAATACCTTACAAGTATTTCCCTAAAAAGGTGCAAATTCTCTTCTAGCCAAGGAGCCTCCAGGGGCTGGGTGGAAGCTAATGACAAAGCTGACTAGTGGGGTCATCTCACATAACTGAACACCCAAGGTCGATCTTGCGGCGGGAATTCTACAGTTACAACTGGACTAAAAAGGAACAAATGGCCCTGGATGGTCGTAAGGATGACGAGGTAAGGAACAGCCTCTACGGAAAGCTGTGGGATTGGTAATCAATCTGTAAAAGACAAAACAGACCCTGATGTTTTATACCTGTCACTATCAAGTAGTCAAACAGCAAATAACTACTGAACGCCACTATGTGTCCAACTCAGTGCTGTGTATCCTCCTTCTGAGGCATGAACTGAATTAAAACTTTTTTTTATAATAGGTAATACCTACAAGTGATGTAAAATTCAAGAGTACAAAAGGGTATACAGGGAATTGGTAAGCCAAACTATTCCTAAAGACTTAAAAAGCACCATTCCTACTTTCATGCTACTTGTGATCCAGATCAAGAGAGAAAACTAATGTAGGAAATCAAAGGCCCTACCTCGGGGCCTTTGCACTTGCCGTTCCTTCTTCTTTGAACACTCTTCCCCCACATATCTGCATGGCCTGCTTCCTTTCTCCTTCAGGTCTTTACTCAGCTGCCACTTTCTCAGTGAGGTCGCCCTGGTCGCCCTCTCTAAAATGGTTACATGCCCTTCTCACTCCCTGTCTCTCTTCCCTGCCTCACCACCCTCTCCAGCAATTATCACCATCTTACATACTACAAAATGTATACTATAAATACAAATATCTAATACATGCCTTATTTGTTTATTGTTTCTCCCCTCCCCTAAAATTTAAACTTCATGAGGGTATGATTTTTGACTGTTGGTCTCATGGCTATATTCTCACCACCTAGAGCTGGCACATAAATATTTGTTGAATGAATAAATGATTGATGCCTGTTTTGGACAGGGTACAGATCTGTGTAGCTGGAAGGATCACTGACAGTGAGAATGTCAGGCTCCGTGGTGGGTGACAAGGAGCATTTGTGGGCCAAGTACTCAGAGTTCTTAAGATTATATGGAGGGGCGCCTGGGTGGCTCAGCCAGTTAAACACCCGACTCTTGATTTCAGCTCAGGTCATGAGATCCAGCTCCATGTAGGCATGGAGCCTGCTTAGGATTCCCTCTTTCCCTTTCCCTCTATACATCGCTGAACCTCTCTCTTAACAAAAAATTAGGAGTGCCTGAGTGGCTCAGTCAGGTAAGCATCTGCCTTCAGCTCAGGTCATGATCCCAGGGTCCTGGGATGGAGCCTCATGTTGTTGGACTCCTTGCCCAGTGCGGAATCTGCTTCTCCCTCTGCCTCTGCCCCACCCCCTGCTGGTGCTCAAGCGCGCGCGCTCTCTCTCTCTCTCTCTCTCTCTCTCAGATAAATAAGTAAAATCTGGGGCGCCTGGGTGACTCAGTTGTTAAGCGTCTGCCTTTGGCTCAGGTCATGATCCCAGGGTCCTGGGATCGAGCCCCACATCGGGCTCCCTGCTCAGTGGGAAGCCTGCTTCTCCCTCTCCCGCTCCCCCTGCTTGTGTTCCCTCTCTTGCTGTGTGTCTCTCTGTCAAATAAATAAATAAAATCTTTAAAAAATTTTTAAAAAAGTAAAATCTTTAAAAAAAATTATACCACCTGGGGACCTTTCCCCCCTTCCTTCCTTGCTTCTTCTTCTTCTTTTTTTTAAAGATTTTATTTATTTGACACAGAGAGAGAGAGCACAAGTAGGCAGAGTGGCAGGCAGAGGGAGAGGGAATCATGACCGAGCCGAAGGCAGTCACTTAACCAACTGAGCCACCCAGGCGCCACGCTTCCTTGCTTCTTCTCAAATATTTATTAAATGCTCGCTGAGTGTCAGGCCCCAAGGTGAGTCTGGACTATGCCTCAGAGGTCCCACCCATCGGCAGAGTTGACCACCACCCTCACCTGCAGAATAAAGGTGATTCTACCAGCCACTGTGACAGGAACATCTGCTATTCTGTTCCAGACAGGGAGCTGGTGTGTTCATGCATCCTGAGGGCTTCGCCCAAAACAGCAGAGGGTAGGCATGTTTACAGCTACCGTGTGGGCCCCTCCCAGCTCTAGACCCCTACCAGAACTGGCAGAACAAATCCTGCCATCCCCCATGTGTCACAGTGAACAAGGACACACAAATGGTACATCAGAGGGCCATGGGTAGGTAAGTGGGTTATTGGAAATGGCACTTTTATTTTTGGTCTTTAATGCCAACATTGTAAAAATACTACACATTTTTTTAAAAAATCACTCAATATCTCACCACTCCTAATATTTCCATTTTTCCCTGTTTTATTGCAGGGCTTCTCCACACAATGCCCACATGGTTATAATGCTGGCATGGCCTGTACTCCAGTCCCTAACAGGGGGTGGCACCTGGATGGAAGCGGAAAAACCGTTTCCTACCATTGCCCTAGAGGAGAAGGCTTCAGGGGGCCAGAAGGGCTGTGAGCCCCAGGACCCTGTGACCCCAGGATCCTGAGCCCCTGGCAGCATCACGGACAGTCTGTGGCTCCCCAGCATCCTGCCCAGCTCAGGAAGCCTGGGGTCAGCTGGGGCCTGTCAGTCCTGGAGGGCAATGGTCCTGTCTACCTCACCTTGGGGCAAATTCCTGGAAGAAGGGAGAGGCTAGAGGCTGAGGGAACTCAATTCAAGGGAATCTCTGGCTGAGAATCTCTTTTTGGGGCTCACGATATAGGTGCTCAGGCCTCCCACCTGGAGATTCTGAGGTGAGGTCAGGGCTCCTGTGTATTCTTGTTTAAGTCCCACAGGTAAACAGCTTCTCTCGTTCTTTACCAAGCGTATGTAATCTGTGC